TAAAACAAAGAGCCATAGATCGGTTGAAGATATTACTGGCTGGTTTGACTTGTGGACAGTGGACACTCTATGGAAACTTTGCAGCTGACTTCGCTGCCACAGCTGCCCTGGAACGTATTCCCCTTCAAGTCATTACCATGTTTCAAGACCTGGCTGCCTTTCGGAAATCGGAGTATCACCGCCTTCAGACAGTCTTTTCGTACTTGGTTGATCTCAACCGTTGCAGAATTGAGGCTCTTAATGTTGGATCCACTATTGTGGGTCAACCGGAAGTTCCTCAGGTTGATACGTCTGGTTTCCTGATGCCACCCAAAGCCATGGGAATTGATGCGGTGGAGTTCCTCAAGTCTTTTGCCCCTTGCCATTATGTACCTTTATTTGATGAAAATGCAATCGACAAAACCACTTTTGGTGGCATCATTCAAGGGGCAAACTTCACGGCAGCTGTCATCAAATGGTTGGCTCAACTTCGTTGGCCCCCTGGGATACAGGCTGACTACAAGAAATCCGATGATTGGGGTATTTCATGGTTGGAGATGCTCTTCAGTTTTGTGTTATTTTCACGTATGTACCCACCAGTCAAGACCGGTGGACAAAAGTCTGAAGCTGTCTTCTTGAATTATTCTTCTAAAGAGGCACTTTTGTTGCCCCTGTCGACTCGGTCGGCATCCAAGACCTACTATACGTTTTCACAAGCCATTTTGGCTATCAGAACCATTACATCCACGGCAATTCTGCCCAATTTCACCTCAAAAAAATGCTCGTCTCTCCGTCACTTCAGTTTTCTGGGACATTCGCTGGCTTGCCTTGTCGTCCGTGTTTGCCCAACCCTGGAGATACTACTCAGGCGGTCTTTGAATACGTTTCTAAACTGGGTGGTGCTTTGACTTTCCATTTGCCCTTGGCCCTTCTTGACGCTCCGCTGCCATCTGATAGTGGTGATCTCGTTGAAGTCTCTATGCGAGAGAGACACCAATGTTGGCAACGTATCGTCACAGGACGTTACAAACGTCTTGCAAAGGAACCCCGAGCTTGTGATCGTGCCAATAATTGATTGCTTGCCAATTCGACTTGTTGCCTCCTTGCTTGATCTTGGCATGTCGGTTGTTGTACAGATTTCTATACGGTTCACCCCCGTTTCTGACACATCTTACCCCCTTCGGGAAGGGATGATGTGCTGCGAACCCTACTCGCGCCGAACTCCGTCAAAAATTGGTCAAGTTGGTCAAAAATTGGTCAAGTTTGCCAAAAATTGACCCACTTATTCAAATTTGTCAAGAATTGACCAACTTGGTCAATTTGGTCAGGTTGGTCAAAAATCGGTCAAGTTGGTCAAACGTTGGTCAAACGTTGGTCAAGTTGGGCAAGTTGGACAAAAATTGACAAACTTGGTCAAGTTGGTCATAAATTGGTCAAGCTGGTCAAAAACTGACCAACTTATTCAAATTGGTGAAAAATCGGTCAAGTTGCCAAGTTGGTCAAAAGTTGGTCAAAAATTGGTCAAGTTGGTCAAAAAATTGGTCAAGTTGGTCAAACGTTGGTTATGTTGGGCAAGTTGGTCAAAAATTGACCAACTTGGTCAAGCTGGTCAAAACTGGTCAAGTTGGTCAAAAATCGGTGAAGTTGGTCAAAAGTTGGTCAAAAGTTGGTCAAAAGTTGGTCAAATTGGTCGGAAGCTTGTCAAGTTGGTCAAAAACTGGTCATTTGTTTTTTCAAAGTTGGTCAAGTTGGTCAAAAGTTGGTCAAATGTCGGTCAGGTTTGTCGACAGCGGGTGATGAAACTGTGAAGTATTGAAGCATCCATGACACCTCAAGTACCCCCGGTACAAGTGTCCAGCGCTGGGGGAGACACCATATTGCTTTTTATCACCGCAAGATGGTCAGGTAATTTCAATTGAACATCACATGCGTGAACTTAAACTCAGATACTTGTAGGGAACCGTTCAATAACTCTGCTACTTTCCTCCCATGGCAACAACTGAAGGCAACCTAGAACAATTCTCATATGAAAGAGTCTCATGCTTTGAGGCATGCAGTGGGCTCAAATGGCAGCATGTACCGGAAAAAACCATCGTATGTGGTTGTGCTCCACACCCCTCTTCCGTCAGTTGACAAAAAGCATTCCAACAGGGCAATGCTACTTTTTGGTGTGCTATTTTTTTCACGTTAAAACAAGGCAGCTTGAAAATTAACACTGGGAAGTGCTTTGTGCAGTGCTTTGTGCAAGCTTTGTAGTACAAAGTAGTACTGGGAAGTGCTTTGTGCAAGCTACGTAGTACAAAGTATTCTGGGAAGTACTCTGTGCAAGGTTTGTAGTACAAAGTGGTACTGGGAAGTGCTCTGTGCAAGCTTCGTAGTACAAAGTAGTACTGGGAACTGCTTTGTGCAAGCTTTCTAGTACATAGTAGTACTGGGAAGTGCTCTGTGCAACCTTTCTAGTACATAGTACTGGGAAGTGCTCTGTGCAACCTTTCTAGCACACGGTAGTACTGGGAAGTGCTTTGTGCAAGCTTTCTAGTACAAAGTAGTACTGGGAAGTGCTTTGTGCAAGCTTTGTAGTACAAAGTAGTACTGGGAAGAGCTGTGTGCAAGCTTTGTAGTACAAAGTAGTGCTGGCAAGTGCTGTGTGCAAGCTTTGTAGTACAAAGTAGTGCTGGAAATTTCTTTGTGCAAGCTTTGTAGTACAAAGTAGTACTGGGAAGTGCTTTGTGCCGGCTTTCTAGTACAAAGTAGTACTGGGAAGTGCTTTGTGCAAGCTTTGTAGGACAAAGTAGTGCTGGGAAGTGCTTTGTGCAAGCTTTGTGGTGCAAAGTAGTGCTGGGAAGTGCTTTGTGCCAAGCTTTGTAGTACAAAGTAGTACTGGGAAGTGCTTTGTGCAAGCTTTGTAGTACCAAGTTTCAAAGTAGTACTGGGAAGTGCTCTGTGCAAGCTTCGTAGTACAAAGCATTCTGGGAAGTACTCTGTGCAAGGTTTGTAGTACAAAGTAGTACTGGGAAGTGCTTTGTGCAAGCTTTGTAGTACAAAGTATTTTGTAAAGGCTTTTCTGTGTAAATGCATCTGTGTCTCAAGCGTCCGTGTGCAAAAGTTTCTGCGCCCAATCGTTTTTTGTGCAAGAGCCTTCTCTCTGACAGTAAGAGCTTTCTGGCATGCAGAACAGCTGAGATGAGTTGAGACGAACTTCGAGGAGATGAGAAAGGTTGATCAGTGCTCGGATGAGATGAGAACAGTTGAGAAGAACTTACTTAGATGACACGTGAGAAGAGATGGGATGAGATGAGAAGAGCTGAGATGAGGTGAGAAGAGCTCACATGATTTGAGATGAGATGAAGTGTGCGAGTGTGAAGTGTGAAGTGCGGGGTGCGAAGAGCGCAGTGTGAAGTGTGAAGAAAGTCTTCGCTTGGCGTTGCATTGCACCGGGGTCGTGCACAGGTCATGTTCTTGGACAACAACACTGCAACAGCTTCGCACAAAGCACGCACGCACGGGCCTGGCTGGCGCACGGCGCATGCAAGTTCTATAGATAAGAAAGGTCTTATCGAAGGAAGTTTAGAAGTCAAACTTCCGACAATATGGACAGATGAAAAGCAGAGGAGAGAAGAGAAAGATCAGAAGAGAAAAGAGTAGAAGAGAAAGAGTAAGAAGAAAGAAGATGGAGATGCGCGAAAAGGTAGGAAAGTCGCGATTCACTGTGTTTTTCCAATGATTTGTGGCTCCGGAGGGTCGAAAAGTAGGCTTGCTAAAGCGGCGGGTGCGGAGCCAGCTGGCCAGAGGAGAGATGAAAAATTGCACGCCGTTGTGGCGCGAAGCACATTTCCAAGTGAAAATGTACAAAGCACACCATTCTCGGACCACTTTTGGAAGTGGCGACGTCGAAAAAGTGCACGCCGTTGTGGCGCGAAGCACATTTCCAAGTCAAAATGTACAAAACACCACATGTTCGCGCCACTTTTGGAGGTTCAGATGTCGAAAAAGTGCACGCCGTTGTGGCGCGAAGCACATTTCGAAATCGCAATGCTAATAACACCAGGGGGTCGGACCACTTTTGGAGGTTCAGAGGTCGCTTCGCTTCACTACACTACATTACACTACACTACACTACACTCCACTACACTACATTACACTACACTCCACAACACTACAACTACAACTACACAACGACAAAACTACACTCCACTACACTCCACTACACTAAATTACACTCCACTACACTACACTACATTACACTACACTACACTACCTTTCACTACACTTCACTACATTACACTACACTACACTCCACTACAACTACAACTACAACTACAACTACAACTACAACTGCAACTACACAACTACACTCCACTACACTCCACTACACTCCACTACACTCCACTGCGCTACACTACATTACACTACACTACATTACACTACACTACACTACGCTACCTTCCACTACAGTTCACTACATTACACTACACTGCACTCCAGTACACTACAAATACAACTACAACTACACAACTACACTCCACTACACTCCACTACACTCCACTACACTCCACTACACTAAATTACACTACACTACACTACATTACACTACACTACACTCCACTACACTACATTACACTACACTACACTCCACAACGCTACAACTACAACTACACTCCACAGATAAATAGATAGATGGATAGATAGATAGATAGGTAATTAGGGAAAGAGTGAGAGAGAGAGAGAGAGAGATAGATAGATAGATAGATAGATACATAGATAGGTACATAGAAGAAAGATAGGTAGGTAGGTAGATAGTCAGAGAAAGAGCGAGAAAGAGTGGGAGACCTCAAGCACCTTTCGGTCCATCAGTGGATTCGCTCTGCCATCCCTGATTCACAACAACCAACCTCTCCTATAGGTTTCCTATTTTTGAAACTTCCGCCACCGCCTTGTGCGGTACTACTGGTAGTATATCCCTAGGGCAACTTCCGCCCCACCTCGTGCGGGCACTACTTACTGGTAATGATCAGTGATTATCAACCGCCATCAATGACGATCAGTGTTCGAAATCTCGCATGATTGTTCAAAGCACATTTGGTTCCCTGCCTGCTGCCATCGCTCCAACGCTGATCGCGACTTGGGACCCCATAGTTGTTGTTCGCGCAGCCAAGGCTCGCAGAAATGGATGCACTGAGCCCAACCCAAGCACTCGGAAGGTTACCACCTGATACAGTCAAGCCAACGCCAATAGCAGCCCAAACCGAGACGAAAGCTTGAGGAGTCACCAGCTCCTTGACCAAGCTTTCGAAGGCGCCTGCACTGCCACCGATTATGCCAAAGGAGACCGAGCCATAGGAGCCCAAAGCTTTGTAGTAGCCCTGAGTATACCACAGCGACCACTTCCCGAAACATGACACCATGTTCACAAAGAAATCCCAGACCCCTTCACTTCGTGTGCTCAACAGTGCGAGATGTGCAGACTGGTTGGACACCTGGCGCAACGGTGTAGCTTCTCCATGAGCTTCAGCATCAGCTTCAGCTTTGGTTCGCTGCCATTTCTCAAACTCCACGCGGTCGACAAGCTTCATCATCTTCGGGAGTCCGCCTGGTGATTCAAGAAACTTTTTCAGAACTCGTTTCACAGCCTTGTTGCCAGCAAGGCCATAGGCATGCGCAGCCTCCGAGCAAACAGCTTGAAGGGTTTCACATGTTTCACTCAATTTGCTTTATAGAACAATTTGCTTCACAAAAAATAAAGTAAGGTAAGTCGCTGTAAGTCGATGCATAAAACAAAACACGTCAAGACAGTGTCCACTGCACTGCGCCTCCAGAGCGGAAGCTTGCGCCTCGCGGCGCCAAAGTTGCATGAGCACTGGATGTTCTGAGAGATGACTTTGGAAGCGCCGTTGCAAAGTAGCCCGGTTGATAATCTCAGCCTTCAAATGAGAGAGCGCTCCACTTTTCATGAAGAGCAGGGTCTGCTTGTAGCTGGCTAAAACAATATCCCAGTAGTTCGTGTGGTCACACTTCATCCTCACACATACAGGATACCAAGTTTCTTCCCAGCGCTTCACAACCGAATACGACACATTGTCTGAGGATGTCAAAGAACTCAGAATTTGATGAGACTCCCGGGTGGCCTTGTTCAAGGCTGCAGACGTTGAAAAGGCCGAACGCACCGCAGCAGTGTCCTTCTCCTTCTTCTCCTGATTCTCCTGGATCATGGACGGAACAGCCAAGCTTGTGGCATCCAACTTCTCGAACATGTCGCACACGTATTTTGGTGGCAGGAATTGACCGGGAGCTGTCTGGTTGATGTTTGACTCCTTGATCAAAGCTTCGGTAAGCATGTTCCAAATGATGTCAAAGCTGGCGAGTTGCTCCATGATCGCCACCAAGAAGGCAATGGGAAGCTTACCAGCCTCTACCGCTGGCTCGATGAGGCAACTTGCAATTCTGATGCACTGCTCTATGTGAGTCCAATCTTTTAGAGGGCAGTACTTGTTGGCATCCTCACCCATGACCTCATGCAAGGCACCATAGAATCCGGCAGTTTTATCATATAATAGCTCAAGATCCTTTGAATAGTTGCCAAAGCGGTACGCGATGTCGAGATGCGTCATGTTTTTGCCGCTGCTGATCAGCCCAGAATAATTGGTCAAGTTGACGAGGGCGATGGGAAGCGACACAGCCAGTCAAGACCATCCTTCTCAGCCATCTCACCGCGGAGTGCAATCTGCTTCGTCACAGTGGAGTGCACTTCGAGGAAATTGAAAGGACTGATGTGAAGATGATCATGAGTCCACACCAGATCCATGAACCTCTATGTATATCCCCGTAACATATGGGCCCAATGCCAACTTACAGGCGCCTTGAGCTGAATGGAAAACATGTGCCACGTTGCGTTGTGGGTCGTTTGCGCGTCCCACATCTTCAAACTGGTAGCGGAGCTGTGATAGCATCCCTGCGAAACTTCTACGACAAGCCAGCGACCCAGGTGAAAGACCGTGAGGACACTACGCCCATGGCGCTGGACAATCTGAGGTATGGAAACTTCAGACCTACGACGGTGGTGCCTGAGGCGAGGAGTCTGCCGGGCTATGGAGGACAAGTTGAGGAGTGGGCCAACTATAAGTTCCAGGTGCAGGCCATCGAGATGAAGGAGTCACAGATGAGTGAAGGTGAGAGGAAGAAGCTTGGAGGACTGGCTTTGAAGCTGACTGAGAGGCTCCAAGGGCCGGCTTTGCAGATCGCAAAGACCTTGGGGATCGAGGAGTTGGCAAAGCCTGATGGAGTCACCAAGCTGATGAATGCCCTGGAGACAGACCTACTACCACTACGCCGACAAGCCGCAGTGGAGCTCTACCAAGCCGGATCTATGCCTGGCTTGCTGAGCCGACAGAACGCCGAGCCGATGGCATCATATGTGCTGAGAAGGGAAGCTTGGTGGAACCAGTTGACCGAGCTTGACAAGGAGGTCAAGTGCAGCCAAGCGATCTTAGGAGAGCAGATGCTGACACAGAGTGGACTCACGTCCATGGAGCAGCAACTGGTGAGATCGGTGATGAGCAACGATCTCAGCGACCTCAAGAAGTTGGCAGCAACGCTGAGAGACCAATTCGGAGCGGTACATGACAGGGAGAAGAGAAAAGGCAAAGGAGATCACAAAGGCCGATGGGGCTGGGGACAACGAAGTTCCTACATGGCGGAGTCCTATATGGCTGAGGATGAGAACCCTGTTGTGGCCGACGAGACCCTTGAGAATGCCGAGTATGATGAGGAGCTCTACGATGAGAACTATGAGGAGATGCCAGAAGGACCTGAGGGGACACAGCTGGAAGAGGACATCGTGGCATGGTACGCAGACCAAGGTATCCATGCACAGACGTGCTCAGCTGAGGACTTGGAGTTGATCTACGACACTGTGGAGCACGAGACAGCTGCGTTCTACTCGAGGCAGCAGGCAGCTCATCGAGGCTACTCAGTTCCTGCGAGCAACAGCTTGTACCAGTCCAACAACAACCAGACACCACAGGAGAGGCAGGCCAAGGTTTTGGCTGCGAAGCAGAGGACGAGGTGCAGAGCTTGTGGACAGCAGGGACACTGGCAACGAGACTGGATCTGCCCGAAGAGAAAAGGAGGATTCAAAGGCAAAGGCAAGAACAAGGACAAGGGCAAGGTTCAGAGCAAGGGGAAGAACGATGGCAAATCATCGCCGAGCTCTACGAGATCGACATCGGGATCACCAAGCAAGCCCAGGGTTGTCTACTTCTCAGTGAGAGACAGCCACCAGGAAGAACCCTTTGCGGGGATGGTTCATCGCTATGAGCCTTCCGGTCCAGGGAACCCAGGATTGGATGATGTAGATCAGAGAAGACTTGAGGATGAGGTGCGAAGGCTGATGACCTTGCCATCAGAGAGGTTGCAGCAGGAGTTCCAACAGGAGCTATACTACATGCCACCACAGAGCAAGGCAGCAGCACGACCACCTTCAGGAAGTCTGGTTCCTGATCTGATGATGCAGATGCATCACCCCAAGTCGCCTGGCTTCTACGTGCATCAGGCGAGAGGATCGACTGAGGAGACTATGGAATTCTCAGCTGGCGAAGTGCCAATTCCAGAGACACCTAGAGGAGAGGTTGCCCACATGAGAACACGACAAGAAGAGGATCGAATGCCTACATAGACATGCTGACCTGCAAGGACTGTGGACTGGTGATGCACAAGGAGAAGAAGTCACCAGTGACCAAGGACATCAGCATGAGGCAGATTGATCCGCAGGTGTGTCAACACCATGATGTGTCTTGGAAAGGATCCAACGGGTACCAATGGGTTTGGACATGCCCGGACTGTGGATGCAGCGACAAGGTCAAGAGGAATCCAGGAGATGAGAGGCCGATTCCTGCAGCAGGAGTTCCATCATCCACCATGAGATCTACCACCAGGACACTGCCGAAGGCAACTACACCTATGTCGTCTCCACCAACGACGCCACTGAGGACCTCTACGTCGACAATGCAAGATGCAGTGTTGTTCACATCTGAGGATGAGTGGACGACATGCCGAGATCTTTTGGATCGTATGGTTCGACTCCACATCAATGCCCACAACTCCATCACCAAGCAGGAGTTCATGCAGATCGTCAACGCTGTTTCGCTTTGCTGTGCAGCACAACTTCATCGAGCTGTACCACTTCTACCTTCAGGACAAGGTCACGTGGGAACACCTGGAGGAGCATCCATCTCAACGGCCAGAAGTGAGAACAGAGACGAAGGTGATCGACTGTTTGACTTCGGCAAGTACAAGGGACGAAGCTTCAGATCGGTCTACGACAACGAACCTTCTTATGTGAACTGGACGTTGGACGAGATGCAGAAGGGCGAAGGCTACTGCAAGGGCATGAGAAGATGGCAAGAGTACATCAATGTGAAGAGAGCAGAAGAGGAGTCGAATCCACCGAGAACACCAACAGCCTACATGGTCGTCGATGTCGAGGAGATTGATGAGAATGACGATGTGGCAATGTGGGTCAACACAGAGGACGAGGAAGCGACCTACATGTTCCTTGACTCAGGTTGCAACCAGACCTGTCATGGGGAGCTGTGGATGAAGAGGTTCAGCAATGTGACAAAACATCATCCACAATGGCTACATCGACAGACAACCGAGCTCAACGGCATCGGAGGACGATCGAGGACGCTGGGAGAAAGACTTCTCTATGTCATGCTGGAGAACAACAATGGAGAAGGAGTTCCAGGAGAAGTCACCAGCATGGAAATCGAGGGATCGAAAGCACCAATGCTTTTGAGCCTTCCTTCACAAGAGGCTCTTGGATTGGTCGTTGACTTCGAAGATTCGACCATCTACAGCAAGCTGTTGAACATGACCTTCAAGGCAGTTCGAGGCAAAAGGAATCGCCTTTTGGGCCTCAAGATCACCCCAGCCGAGTTCGCGGAGATGAATGTGGCACCGGTTGAAACCGTTGCAATGATGGCTGAGTCGAGTGAGGGCTCTGACAAGAAGCCACCATGGAGGACTTCGGATGAGGGAGATCAGAGAGGAGTGCCCAAGGCCAGAGCAGCACCCAGCGAGATGCTGACCAGAATTGCACCGGATGGACAACGCTACACATCTGAGGTGCGAGTAGTTCCAACTCGAGCAGCATCATCTTCAGCAAGACCATCTGAGGAGAACACCGACAAGGAGGATGATGACGTGTGGGTTGAGGTCGAAGAAGAGGAGGCATCACAACCCGCTGGGACGACACAGAATGAGACATGGGATCGAGATGAAACAGATGACGCACCACTGGAGGAGCAGATCTTGGATGAGCCAGAGGAAGAAGGTCAGCCAGAAGGAGAACTATCTCCGAAGGAGAAGGACGTTTTCCGACCAGAAGATGAGGAGACTGACTGGTGGGACATCCAGGACAATGAGATCATCCGACACCATGTGCAGCCACGGACTATGCCGTTCTACCCAACAGGAAGTCGAATGGATTTACCCGTCGACTTGATGAGGCTTGCTGGACGAAGAGTGACCTACAAGCTCTTCGAGGATGGGAACACGGAGACCGTGAATGACAACTGGAAGGATCGACTTCCAGGACAGTACGTCAAGGAGCGATCGGAGGCAACAACCTTTGAGAAGGCACCTCCTGGACTTCACGTCGTCCGGAGGATCACCTACAACATGGAGAATGGAGAAGAGATCGCTGACGAGACTGAGTATGACCTCATGCAGGAGGGACGAGAAGAAAGACCACTACCCAACGGAGTCACCTACATCAGGACGAGATTCCACGTCTTCGAGGACTTTGAGGACGAGAGTCCATGGATTGGAACTACCACGTTCCGACTCAAGCCTTTGGAGACGGAGTTGGCCGACTATGTCATGGACCCCAAGGACACCAAGCGCACCATGACCAAGGGCCAGCGGAAGCAGCTGGAACAGGAGGTTGAGAACCTGGAGGAGAAAGACATGGCGCTTTGGTCTGTCCTGACCAGGAGAAAAGCTTTCTTGCCCATGCGCTGGAAGATTGTCTTCGAGTTGTTCTGCGGATGTGCCTTGTTGACAAGGATGTTTCAAGCAGCTGGCTATGAAACCTGCACACCGCTGGACATGAACAACGGGTGGAATGTCTTCGACCCGAAGCATCGAAGATGGGCAGAGGACATGCTGGATCGTGAGAACCCGTACCTTCTCACTGTGGCATGGCCTTGTGGACCCTGGTCACCATAGCAGAGGATGGCAAAAGATCAGGAGATCGTTCAGGAGAAGCGGAAGAAATGGTTGCCGATCCTAGGATGGATCAAGAAGATGGTGAGGAAGCAACAGCAGAAAGGAGGAGTGACGATGGTCGAGAACCCATGGCCGTCAGAGGCTTGGAACACTCAGGAGATCATGTCACTATCTTCGCATCAATATGGACGAAGTGAGGAGGAGCAGTTCGAGGTCTTGAGGGTAGATGCATGCGCCTTTGGACTTCGGGACTATGACTCCAAGCTGTTGCACAAGAAACCCACAGGCATTGGGACAGACTCACCAGGCATCAAGACCATGATGAGAGGAATGACCTGCAGCGGAGATCATGAACATGAGCCGCTGGAGGGTAACAATTCGAGAGGAGCGAGAACGAGGCAAGCAGCAAAGTGGACTTCGAGGATGTGCAGAAGGATCATCCGAGGAGTTCAGATCGACTTGGAGAATGCAGTCTCAACAGCATTCGCAGGAGAGGCTATGCAAGAGGCAATGGAAGAGGAGCCACATGCGCTGGATGAGATCTATGGAGAAGAGGATCTACCTTCAGCAAAGCCGACAGCCAAGGAGGCAGAGGTCGATCTGGCAAGAGAGGAGACGTTGGAAGATCAAGAACGACTTGAGGAGCCAGAGGCCGAGAAGATCAGAAGGAGGATGTGGACAAAGCTGAGCAGAAAGGAGAGGATTGGCATCAGAAGGTTGCATGTCATGACAAGTCATGCAACACGACCACAAATGCAAAGGATGCTGAGGTACTCCAATGCACCAGCCAATGTGGTGTCAGCAGTGAAGTACTTCAAGTGTTCAGCTTGCGAGAGGCTTTCAGAAGGCCATCATCCCGCAGTTGTGAAAGCTCCAAATCCCTACACCTTTGCCGAGGATGTTGGATTGGACGTCTTTGAGGTCAAAGATGCTGAGGGAAACCGATACCAAGTTCTACATGCTGTATGTCATGGCACGACATTCCAAGCGGGAGAAGTGCTTGGCATTTCAGCTGGAGTTCCGAGCAGCCGCCTATGCTTGGACCTTTTCACTCGATTTTGGATGAGCTGGGCAGGAACACCGAAATCCATCACTGTGGACCGAGGCACTCACAACCGAGGAGTTTTCTTCTCAGAGCTTCAGAAGCTTGGAGTTGAGGTGAGGTCGGCAGCGACACAAGCCCCATTCCAGATCGGGAGGACAGAGAGACATGGAGGTATCCTGAAGCACATGATCAACAAGGTCGTCATGGCCACGCAGGCTACAGGACAATCAGAGATGCAGCTTGTGCTCATGCAGTGCCTGGAGACCAAGAACCGTCAGGCAAACATTGGAGGATTCTCCCCGAGCCAATGGGTACTTGGCCGGAATCCACGAGCTGGAGGATGGACAGATGAGGACGAAGAGACAGTCGTGGTTCACGATGAGGATCCGCAATCCACGTTCAACAGGAGGAACGTGATGAGGGAGGCTGCAAGGATTGCCTGGGCAGAAGAAGACAGCAGGAGGAGAGTTCAGAAGGCATTGCTGAGGAAAGGTGGCGGAGAAGCTCAACAATTCCGACAAGGAGATCTGGTTGCTTTCATGAGGAGAAAGCAAGGAGCCGTCAAGTGGTATGGACCTGGACGAGTTCTGACACAGGAGGGCAAGAATGTCTGGATCATGCATGGAGGAGTTCCAATTCTCACTTCAGAGACCATGGTGAGGGCAGCAACTTCAGAGGAATATCTCACCAAGGAGCTCATTGGCGTGACCAAGGGCAAGAAGAGAGGCAGAGGACTACTCTACGAGGATCCAGCACAACACCATCAGTTGGGATCAACTGGACAGCCGTCCTATTTGGATCTCCGGAAGGTTGAGGACGATGAGGATGCAGCAGGAGCCGCACTACCCAGAGGAGGACTTGGCAACATTGCACCTACAGAACGAGGAGGTGATGAGGATGAGTCACCAAAGAGGATGAGAGCATTGATCAGAGATGAGGAGAAGAAGCAAGAGGATGAGGCAAGATCAATGGCATCAAGGACATCACCACATGAAGTGCCTGTGCCAACAAGTCCGACTAACTGGGAGGACAACAGTCCTGGCTACAGCCCTGGAACACCCGTGGAGGAGCAAGCAACTTCATCGACGAGGACGGTGCAGACACCATCTCTACCACAACCACCAGCAGTTCTGACACCGCTGTCAAAGGCAATGGCAATTGCAGGAGGAAACCAACTTGATGTTGGAGCAAAGATGGCGAAGTCAATGAGGACGCAGAGAGAGGAGACAAAGGAAGAGAGCGCAGCAGAGAGGACCATGAACAGACCACGTTCAAGGAGTCCGCCAGAAGCTTTGAAGAAGGAGTTCACGAGCTTCATGGCGAAGAGGTACAACAAGAAAGGAGGAGACCCCAAGAGCACTGGGGAGTTGCGCTATGAGAGAGAGACCAAGGAGATGCAACGACAGTTGGACATCACCAGAGGCAAGGAATGGACCAATTGGGTCAAGTACAAAGCGACCAGAGTTCCATCCAAGAAGGAGGTGGAGCAGATGCTCATGGCTGGCATCAAGCCTGTGCCAATGCGATGGGTTGACGTGGACAAGCATGCTCGACTACGAGTTGAAGGAGGACCAGAGGTGGAGCCGAAGTTGAAGAGCAGATTGGTACTTCGAGGAGATCTGGAAGAAGGAGACTTCAGAGTCGACTGCCCGACAGCCACGGCAACTGGAACACACCTGGTCATCAGCTTCGCAGCATGCACCAGGAGACGCTTGAGAGCAGGCGACATCAGCGCCGCCTTCCTCCAAGGAAGTCCTATCAACCGAGAGCTGCTGATGAAGGTTCCCAACACAGGAATTCCTGGTCCTGACGGACAAGGATACGCAGTCGAACCTGGCAGCTACCTTGTGGCTTTGATGTCAATCTATGGGAGCAAGGATGCACCACGAGGATTCTGGATAGCTTTGAGAGATGAGATGCAAGTCCAAGGACTACGTGAGGTGGAGCCAGCACTCTATGCTCTGACAGGAGATCAGGGAGAACTACATGGACTGGCAGCAACACACGTGGACGACATCATCTGGACGGGAGATGAGACCATGGACAGTGTCATGGACAAGATCCAAGAACGTTTCACTTTTGGCAGCATCGAGGAGGAGAACTTCCGATTCTGTGGCAGGCGCATCGAGTCAAAGGATGACTACTATGAGGTCACTTGCCCAGAGCTGCTTAGCAAGGTGAAGCCGATTCACATTGAGGGACGCCGAGACCGAAGTCCTGCTGACCCAGCGAGTGCAGAGGAGCAATCGCAGATGAGGGCCGTCTTGGGAAGCATCGGCTACGTCGCCAGACTTTGCAGGCCAGAGCTTTCCTACAGATGTTCGGCGCTTCAAGGGAAGCAAGCGCGACCTCAACACCAGGATCTTGTGAACACCAATAAGTTCTTGTCCGCAGCGCAGCGCACTACGGGCAATGGCTTGCGCTACGTCAAGAACAAGATCGACTTTCACAGTGCAGTGCTGCTATCTGTGACGGATGCGAGCTTTGGAGCCGAAGAACACACAGCTGAGGATGGAAGGAAGAGCGGCCATCGTTCCCAGGCCGGAAGATTTCTTCTGTTGGCAGACAGGATGCCGACACTCAGCACTCCAGCGAATGTGCATATCCTGGAGTGGCAATCACACACGATTCGCCGAGTGTGTCGCTCAACTCTGCATGCCGAAGTGATGAGCAGCATCGGAGGGAGTGAAGCAGGGCAGTATGTCCGAGCACTACTCTATAACATGACCAACCCGAAGAAGACTGGACTACGTGAGCAGCTGGACTGGAAAGTGGCAGCGAGTGACTCTCGCACAATCCACTGGCTGACAGATTGCAGGTCCTATGTGGACACTATGTCATCAACTGGTCAAGGAGTGGTAGCTGACAAGAGGCTAGCAATAGATCTCACTGCTTTGCGGCAGGATCTTTGGCGTTCTCCCGGTACAGAATGTGGAGAACCAAATGTACAGGAATCCATCCCTTTGGACTGCACGGATCAACTTTGGTGGATCAGCACCAAGGATATGATCAGCGATGGTCTCACCAAGCACATGCAATGGGACAACATCACCAAGCTGTGCCGCACAGGTCGGTTTATTCTGACATCATTGCCGAGGAGGTCCATATGTTCCGGTTCAGGATCTGTAAAGATAGACGGGTGTGAAGATGATCATGAGTCCACACCAGATCCATGAACCTCTATGTATATCCCCGTAACATATGGGCCCAATGCCAACTTACAGGCGCCTTGAGCTGAATGGAAAACATGTGCCACGTTGCGTTGTGGGTCGTTTGCGCGTCCCACATCTTCAAAACTGACTTTTCTCCTGATAGCTACAGCACCCACATAGCTCTCTGTCTCTGGGCAAACAGAGTACAGGTGACACCAGCCGGTGCTTGGATAATAGGCTGCACCCATGCAGGTCTGGTCCTGCAGACAGCCCGCGGGCTTGTCATCATTCTCACACTTTGCTTGACATTCAGCCTGTGTGATCTGAGACCAGCCGTTGCAGTTTCCCCCGCACTCGTCATAGGTGTACGGGAAGCCTTTGCACCTTTGATCGGTAAAATACTCCCACGGCTCTGGAGTCCAGTGGTCACCATAGCCGCTGTAGGTGATGGTGAACCTTTCCCAAGGCCCTGTTGGCGGTGAATTCCAATTCCACTGCTGAGCTGTCGTTTGTACTGTGTGGTAATCCATCTGCACGAATCGATTGAAGTAGCCGCTGTGCAAGCCAATTGTGCCCACAAGATCTACCACCTGGAACTTCTCCCACTGCCAGCCACCTTGAAGATCTGCCTTGGCCATGACGTGGGTGGAACGCATTTTCTGCGTGTCGGTCATTTGAACGTACCGCCGAAACTTTTCATTGTACAAGCCAAGCATTCCCATTCCAACGTCCACTACTCGGAACCTTTCATCATCGCAGGAGTCACACAAATCATCTGCTCCTTGTTTATGCGTGGTGGCCAA